GTCTCTCTCAGCCTTCTCTTTGTGAATCTCTGTTGTGTGAATTCCTTGTAATTCACTGCCTTATATACATCAAGTCAAGTCGCTGAGTTTTTTCCTCCTAAAATAAGAGCAGTGGTCATTCTACAGTATCTAATAAGATAAAAACAGAATACCATATGTTTTTCTTGACTTCTTCTTTTATAGTGCAGTATAGCTGATTAGCATCATTGTGATAGTTTCAGGTGTACCTCGAAGTGATTCAGTTATGCATATGCATGCATCTGTTCTTTTCAAATTCTTTTCTCATTTCCGTTGTTAACATGACATTGAGCAGAGTTCCCTGTGCCATACAGTAGGTCTTTGTTGGCCTGTTTTAAATCTAGCCATGTGTATATGTCAGTCCACATTCTCTAACTGTATGTTTTGAAAGGCATTTTCTTGTGCTCCTTTATTCATTTTGTGTAACTATCTAATCCTATAAAATAGATTCTAATCTGATCGTTAAACTCATAATATGGGAATTGAGCTAAATTTCCATGAATAAGTGGCATTAATATGTCTTTTAAATGAGAGTCCTGTGAAGAGAGGAAGGTAAAGTAAATAAACAGCCCTTAAATTTAGTCCTTGGGGCACATAAGTCACTATGAATGACTAGGTATGATTATAATTCATAATTACAGGATCTTGTGAATGCTTAGTCCTTGAACTCTGAAGTTCGAAAGGACTTTGAAAAGTCACTTTGCCTTTCTCACCATCTTTGACCAAAAGTATAATAACTGCAGACTATTGTCAAGTCATGCTGGTTTTGAGAAACTAGAGGAGATTTCACAAGCTTCCTCAGAAATACAGCACAGTTTTTTTTTTTTTTAACAATCCTCCTTGTAGACAAGGTCATTTTAATATCTAACAGAGTCCCAATTGCTATAATAAAAGGCCAGAATCTCCTCTTCAGCCCTTGTTAGAGTGGGTGACGAGCTGGTTACTAGCTTCATCATAAATGAAGGTTCATTGGGCACCTACTGTGAGCTTCTTTTTAGAACCACGCTTTATGCATTAAAGATCCCCACAAGCCACTTTATAGTTCTCTTTTCTCCAGGCCAAATGAACCCATAAACATTTCCTTTCCAGGGTCCTAGTTTCCAACTATTAATCTTTGCAGCCTTTCTCTGTAGATATTTCACACTCCTTCCAGCAATGAACAGATCCCTCTCTAGTTTCTGACTAATTTGCAATATAAGAGGTTTCCCTGTCTTTTTTATTTTTGTTTTCTTTAGCCTATAGATCATGCACAATTTTTTATACCACATGTCACGTCCTTCTAAACTTGGCCTAAAGCTTTCACGGTGCTTGGAGAGAGGAAATGGGTGGAAACCCAGGAAAGACATCAATCACACATAGATATGTACAACAGAAATCCAGAAAGAAAAAAAAAAAAAAAACACCCTATGCCCACAAAGGCAGAATAGCCTGATCAAAGCTTTTTGTTCAGAATGAGCTGGAGAAAACAAACCAGCCCCAGATGTGAGAGTGAGCAGACAGATGTAAATGTGCATGTGTAGCTGTAAGGAAAAGAGGGTCTCTGTGGCAGGGGTTCTGCAGTCTCCCTCAGGCTAGTCTGAGTCCAGGGAGCAATCAACAAATAGTTGCACAGGATGACTCACACATTTCTGGGGGAAATGACAGAGAAGTGCTTGTGCCGAATGTCAAGCAGGTAGGATGCCTTGGCATTCAGGTCATTAACCATCCAAAGATCCAATAAGAGTTCTAGGAACCATAAGTGATGTCAGAGTTTAGAGAACCAGGGGTTGGCAGGGTTGGTGGACTAGCCAAGGCACGGTCCAGCTGTCTCAGAGGAGGGGGCCCTGCGCTGACAGATGGGTAGATAGAGGTGGGTAGGGCCTAGATGCCTAGATGGGGGGTATATGACAAGGACCCGTCGTTATAATCTGAAAGGGACACAGGGCCTTTGGCTAGCAGGTGGAAGCAGTGACTTCTGGTGTCCTTCCAGTGAGAGCTGAGCGTGAGCACACATACACGCATGCACATGTGGAGGGGTCCTGCTGTAGCACCCTTCCAAGTGCCCATGTGCTCGCAGACACATACATCCAGCCTAAACCCCAGGTTCTGCTGGGGCCAGTCCTGGACACAGATGAAAAGGGAATCAATTACGTTTGTAAGGACACAGGAATCTTACAGGGAAACCTCCTCTACTGTCCTGGAGAAAAAAAGATTAGCAAATGGTGGGGCAGGGGGGAAAAAAGGAAGAATAAGATGAAGTAAAAGCTGGTAAATGGAGAAGAGAAAAAGAGGAAGAAGAAGAAAGTAGGTGACTCAACTTTAGAAGACTGAGCTCTAAGGACGACTGATGAGATCTTTTGAGATGCGCACATATGGCCTTGAGGATTTGTGTCTACCTCTGTAGCTGCACTTGGATACTGGGGTCCCATCACAACCTTGTCTTTTAGACAAGAAACAATGGAGAATGTGGACCACATGTTAATTCAACCAGATGTCCTCATTTCCTCTGAGCAGTTGACCGGTCACAAGTGTATGTTGAATGAATGAGATCATTAGATGCAGAAACTTCAAATTCCCAGGACAGGTTGTTCTTGTAAAAGTGAATCCCATGGACTTCTGAGTCTAGGTCAAACTGTCCCACCAGGTGCTAGGGTGAGCCTCCTAGGGAAGCAGTGATCCTTGTCCAAGTCTCTCTCCCTTCTTTCCCTACCCTAACCCCAAAGTCCCCATATTCATTTCTAAACATTCTATAATTCAGTATTTATTAAGAGGTTCTGCACATATTCCTGGGAGAGCAAACACAATGAGCTATATCCAACGTTGATACCTTCGTCTGAAGGCAGAGGGTCCTTTCCTAAAACAGAACTTGTATCTTGAGAACAGAGAATTCTGGTTACCTGGGTAGCAGGAGAGTGGATGCCATAAATAGCAAGATAGGAATCCAGAGGAACAAAGACAGCATGTTCCTGCTACTGAGTTTGGTGTCCAGATTTCACGTCCAGTGAGGTCCATTTTCAGCAGAAGTACTTTTACGCTGGTCATGCTCTGGCTCCTAGTCCTTCCTATTTTCGTACCTGGGAAGCTAAAGATGTCTCAGCATCTACTTTGCCAGCTCGGTGACAGAGCAGCTGCATGCAGGACACGGCCAGGCTCTTTCTCTGTGTGTTCCGTTGCCGAGCAGGTGTCTTCTCCCCAGACACACCTTTTAAGATGCCGGAGCCATCAGTGAGCTGCGCCTAAGGAGCTGCAAGGAAGACGGGGGCAGGCCATTGGTTTCAGTCCAGTTCTCTCCCTGCTCCTGGCGGCCTGGCTTGCTGCGCCCGTTGTGGGCTGTCTGCTCTCTCCTCTAATGTTTCCCTGCAAGGAACTTAATTGAGTAGAAGGAGGGTGAGACTGAATGGGGTGGTGACTCCCCTTCTTTCTCCCCTCATGACCTAGGTGGACCCTGGAACTTCGGTGGTGGCATCAGTCTTCGCCCCTGTGGATCTGGGGGGCTGGGGAAGACCACCACTGATACCCCACCATCCCTGGCCCACCACCATGAGGCTGAACTACAGCCTAGATCACACAGTTTCTCAACACCTCCCAGGTTGCTGTTAGGAAAATCTGATCACCCTCTGACCTTTCCGATACTGTTCTTTGAGATGACGGTGTTTTTCTCCCCCCATGAATTATTTTTATGTGTTGGCCGCCCTATTACTGAACTGGTTCTGCTTGATTTCCTTGTTCCTGCTTTCACTTGGCGGCACCTTATTTTATAGTCCACTAACTTTGTTGAAAATAAATTTAGTAGTGTGGTTAAGTCTTACTCACTTGATAACGTAAGTACCATATTAGGGTGCGGTGAACGTAGGCTAAGTGCTGTGCAATTACAAGGTAAATATATGATGGGTTTATTTTATCTGCTAAACCCAGCAGGGGTGACAGAGTAATTACTTTTGGACCTGTTTAGTATGCCTACCACATAATCTGTAAGGAGATCAGTTATGTAGTGAAAACTTGCCACCTTCCATTGTTAACACACTTCAAGACTTACATGTTGTTCTTGGGTAGATGTCATGCTGAATTGCACTAGCCATTCCGAGGCTCCTCAGGAATCAACCACACCCTGAGGACCTCTAGCAAAAGGGTTGGAAAGCAGCTACAGTGTTACCTTGGGGGATGGGGAGACACCCACCATCTAAATTTCAAACTAACGCTTTTATTTTTGCTTTGCCCATGCATTCAATAGGATGGAGTAGGAGAGGTATGGGAGAAACAGCATGTACCCTCTTAGAGACCAGTCCTCTTCCACAAAAAAAGCTTCTAGAGTCAAGCATTCAATTGGTGCCGGAAAACATTGACCATGAACATAAGAGTGCCTGGGACCGAGTGCTTTTCATATCTCACAACAGAAAGTCGCTCATAATGGTTGTAAATACCCTGATGACTGTCAGCATTCTGATGGAGTGAGCGACGTGCGCCAAAGCTCAAGGTCATACTCCTGAGCTCTGGTCTCTTTGACTCATAGACCATGCCTTATCACCCGAGAATGCTCCCCGTGAATGCATGCGCCCAGGCCATAGACAAGCAGAGCGGTTCACCCATATTTTGTCATTGTACGTGGGTCTCATGTCTTCCAACAAAAATAAAATATATACATATATTTAAAAAAACAGAACTTTGCAGGGCAATAAGACTTCCTAAAACAAGCAAATTAAGCCGTTGCCTGTTTTTCCTTGAAAACTCTTATATTCTTTGCAAAATTGCTTCTGTTGCAGATTCCATTACATGGTAAGCTACCTTAATGCAGTTAAGTTATTTAACTAGCATCCCTTTGATTTATACAAGGTCTTCTAGAAACATGATTATTGTTGGAGAGTCCAACTCGCGACTAGCCACATCTATCATTTCGCCTGATCCGTAGCTCCAGAAATTCCAATAGTGTTTCATTCTGTGTCCCGGGGTGGCTCTTTGGCTCTGTGCCCATGCTGGCCATTTAGGATTGCTCTTGTGTCTTTCAGGCATCGAGAATGCCAGCGACATCGCCTTGTACTCGGGCTTGGGTGCCGCGGTGGTAGCCGTTGCAGTGCTGGTCATCGGCATCACCCTGTACAGACGCAGCCAGAGTGACTATGGTGTGGACGTCATCGACTCTTCTGCATTGACAGGTGGCTTCCAGACCTTCAACTTCAAAACAGTCCGTCAAGGTCAGCGGCGTAGGGCCCCCAACAGCGTGTCCTCAGGACCGTAGACTACACTCACGCAGGACCCTTGTGTTCTGTGGTCCTGTGTGAGGGTGGCTCTTGGCACTGGGAGCTGCTCCAAAGTTGTCTTCACACCTTAGGATGCCAGGTTTGATGGAGGAGTCTGTCTGAGTTCTTGGCTGCCGTGAGGACCAATGGGTCTCAATTTACTATTGTTGTTTAGTTGCTCAGTTGTGTCTGACTGTTCTGCATCCCTGTGGACTGTACCCCACCAGGCTCCTCCGTCCATGAGAATCTCCCAGGCAAGAATACTGAAGTGCGTTAACATTTCCTTCTCTCGGGGATCTTTCCAACCCAGGGTTGGAACCTGAGTCTCCTGCATTGCAGGCAAGTGCTTTACCACTAAGTCACCATGGAAGCTCCTCAATTTACCATTACCCACATTTTAAATATGGCGTGTCCATCTTTGATATGTAGTCAGTGTCTCAGGTCACCCAACTTTCTATTTTAACCAGCCTGCTTTGGGAATGTATATTTAGTTAACTAAAATATTGAGTATTCAAAGCTACGAACCAATGACTCTACCAGGCATATTTATTACACTATTTATTAGATGGAGTTATTTTATTCAGTGGAGTTATTTCTATTTTAAATAAGTAAAAGGAATTTAGAGGATGTATGATGGGCCGGTTAACCAGAGAAACAATGAAATTCTCAGCCTAAATGACTGTCTGCCTTGGCCACCTTAAAGCAGTCTTCTGTTGTAGGGGAAGGTAAATTCATCATGTCAAACAATAGCACTATTTCATTTTTAAAACAGAAGAGTCATTTGATTTTCTTCTACCAGCTAACTCTGTTCCTGATGATTGGGAGATGGGGATGAGACATAAATGGCTTTTATTTTAGAAAACAATGGAACTGTCTCACTTCCATGGATGAAGTTTTCTACCTTGACTCTTGTGGTCAATATTGTCCCTTTTATTTCTGTTGATTGCCTGTCAGTAATACCTACAGTACAGGACAAGAAGTCTTACTGCTTGGCAGGGATGGAGTTAGGGACAGGATGGTGCAGTGGAAACCCAAGCCAGTGGAAACCCAAGGGGAGATGGTGGGAGAGACAGGCGACTTGACTGCTTACCAGTCACTTTTGACACCTTGTGGCTCAGATGGTAAAGAATCTGCCTTCTATGTGGGGGACCGAGTTTCGATCCCTGGGTTGGGAAGATCCAGTATTCTTGCCTGGGGAATCTCACAGACAGAGGAGCCTGGTGGGCTACAGTGCATGGGGTCCCAGAGTTGGATACGATTAAGCGACTAACACTTCGAATTTCCAGCACCTTGGCTTCCGGTCTAAGTCTGGTTGATCTCCGATAAGAACACATCACCTCAATGTGGGTCTAGAGCTTAGTCTATGTGACTTACTTTGGCTGCGCTGGGTCTTCACTGCTGTGTGCAGACTTCTTTTTCTAGTTGCAGCAAGTAGAGGCTATTCTCAAGTTGTGGTGCCCGAGCTTCTCATTGTGGTAGCTTCTCCTGTGGCAGAGCATGAGCTCTAAGGCCTTCTGGCTTCAGTAACTGCCGCTCACGGGCTCTAGAGCACAGACTCAATAGTTATGGCTCACAGGCTTGATTGTTCTACAACGTGGGATTTTCCAAGACCAGGGATCAAACTCCTGTCTCCTGCATTGGCAGGCAGATTCTTTACCACTGAGCCACCAGGGAAGTTCCAGTATACATGATTTAATTAGAAGTTCATCCAATGAACTGGTCTTGCAACTGTGTAAGAAACTAGAACTGTATCTCCATCTCATCATAAGATATCACTGTCTCAGACCTTACCCGTTAAAAACAGAATACACAGGAGTGTGAGTGGCAGCTTCGTGTGTAAATTCAGAGGCTCTGAAGTCAGATTTGAATCCAAAAATTGCCGTAAAACCTGGTAATTCAGTTGTTCTCTGTCTCAGTTTTTACAGCTGTAAAATGGACATACTAACATCTATCTCAGGGCGGGGGCTTGTGAGGGTGAAACCACCTGGAATGATATGGCTTGTAATACCTTGGCTTAAGTAAGGTACTCAGTCGATGTAGAGAGTATCCTTCTAGAGGCTGGCTGTCTCCTCATACCGTCACGGAGGACCCCAGTGAGTTCCACAGAGCACGCGGTAGTGGGTGAGAGGGCCGGTTCCCTGATCTGAGCGTCTGGGGAAGGCTGACTTGGATAAGCTGATACATATCTACCACGAGGCATCTCAGAATGTAGGAAGCTTATACTGCGAATCTCTGAGAGTATGTAGCCTTTCCAAACTTAATTTTACCATTTTCTTTAACCAAGAACTCACAAAACTAGTGATACCAACAGTAGCCCCTTATCCAAATTCTATTCTCCCCTATATTCACGGTGAGGCTATGCCTTACATGGATGCCCTGTTGTCTTCATGACATCCCTTCTTGAGCAAATATGGTTGGAGCCCCAGCAGGGAGAACAGTGGGACTTAATAGAATGTCATACATAGAGTAGATCAGGGCCTTGAAAAGGACATCCAGAGAGAAACTTGAGGTCACTGGGGGATTATCTTCAATCAGACTTAAATCAAGTTGGCCACCAAGTTTATATGTGTATATGTGTGTGTGTGTATTTTTCATATATATATACACACACACGTGTGTGTGTATAGTGATAGGCAATTAAGACTTAAGTCTAACTCTAGGAAATGTTTTTGCTTCTTGACTTTACATAAGATATCAGGGTCTTCTAACAGTAGCCAGAAATTAAACGTTAGAAGGTGAGGGCTTGAGAGAAAACAGCCATGAGACTCAGAGAGATTTTAAGGTATCAGTGGAAACTTCTGCTCCAAACTCTTCAAATGTGAGATGGTCCTTCCATCCTGCTGCTTGCTTCATAACCCAGAGTAAGGCTGGTATCTGTAGAGTTCAGTGCAGTTCTGTTAAAAAGCTCAGCTCCTTATAATATAAAAAGATCCTCAAACATGGAAAAAATGCCTCATCAAGGTGCTTTTACATCTATAAGGTATTTCATCTCATTTTGAACCTGCTCCTCTGTGATTTGGGATTCTTACAGCATTAGAACAAAGAGGTGGGGAAAGTCAGGATTATAGATTTCCTGCTGGTGTTGTTACAAATTATGAAAATGGAAAAACAATAGAAGCTAATAGGATATGGCCTGAAATTGCAAACATTTTCCAAAATATCACATGTGAAACATTTTTGTCAGGCCCCAAAGGAAAATGGTTTAATATGGTTTGGGTTTCAATTTGAGATGTCACATTGATGGACTGATATGGGCAGAAAGTTTGGAACTGAGGGTTATTTTGTATTTACTAATAAATGAGATTACTTCATCACAAGAAAATATCACAGCATTTCTTTTTAATATTTGGGCATAGCAAAAAAATTGGTAAGTCCCAGCCGATGAGAAAGTCCAATTTCTCATGTTTTTGTAAGGATTATTTTTCTCCATTTGTTTTGAGTCAGAAAGAAGCCATTCTCATCTGCTGCCTTTGTGGAAGCTGGGACCCTCTGTGCCTCTCAGAGTGACATCCATGTTATTAGAGCGAATTGGCTGCTCAGACATGGAGCGGTTCGTGACGCCCCCTGACCCTTTTGCTCTGAGGACATAACATTTCCTCCCCCAGAAACTGCCCAGAATTCCACGGGAGACATGTTGGCACCCACGCCATCTCAGTTATAAACAGCACCACCTCGTCATCATGCTGTGTCATCTCTTTGCCATTTAAACGGAACAGATGTTATTTTTGCTCCAAACTGGATTGCAAAACATCTTTCTTTCCTCTTTTATTTTTTTTAGAAGCTTCTCTTTGCCAGTTAAAATAATCCCGTAAACAATCATACCTGAGTAAGTTGCCTGGTGGAGTGCCAGAAATACTTGTTTTGAAAAGATAGCACATAAAGAACTCGAGAAAAGGATGAGTTAGGTGGGCGGCATTCAGGGAATTGACTGGAAAAGCCAGAGCTCCTGATTCCGAGGCTCGGGATGCTATTGATCAGCCTGTTAGAGATACCGTAGATGCCCAGGTGGGTCTGAGGGGTCAGCCGTGACCTGGGCAGCTGGTGAGCACATGCTGGGTAGTTTGTAGGAGCAGATGTGAAGGAGTAACTGGGATGCCTTACAGCTTCTGAGTGACAGATCCGTCTTCTCCGACCAGGTAACTCCCTGCTCTTGAACCCCTCCATGCAACCAGACCTGACAGTGAGCCGAACCTACAGTGGGCCCATCTGTCTACAGGACCCCCTGGACAAGGAGCTCATGACGGAGTCCTCACTCTTTAACCCTTTGTCGGACATCAGAGTCAAAGTGCAGAGCTCGTTCATGGTCTCCCTGGGAGTGTCCGAGCGAGCCGAGTACCACGGCAAGAACCATTCCGGGACTTTCCCCCACGGGAACAACCGCAGCTTCACGACAGCACATCCCAGAAATAAGACGCCCTACATCCAGAACCTGTCATCACTCCCTACACGGACCGAACTGAGGACCACGGGTGTTTTTGGCCATTTGGGAGGACGCTTAGTAATGCCAAATACAGGTGGGTGGTAAGTGTGCGTTTGTGTATCTTCTCATGTTTGTTTGAATGTATTATATTTACATGATGATGTCCTGTAAGATCCATTTTTAAGATGTTGACTCTTCTGGTGTCAGAGTGAATGCCACCATAGCTCCGGAAGTTGGCTTGATTTACACGGCAACCAGAAGCAGCGCTGACATTACATCTTGCATCTCAGCATGGACCATACACGCCATCAGATGCCCTGTTAGGGCTGACAGGCATGCTGGCTCAGAAGGTTTGGGTGGTCCCTAGAGTTTAAGCCCCCTGGAAATATATTTCCTAGAACATGATCAGGAAGCATTGAAAACATACTTTGATATGACTGCCGAATACCATGTTTATAGTGAAGCATGGTTTACAAACAAGTTGCCAGATTAGTGAAATGACACTCACACTCAAACGTCCTCAGTAACTGACCTAATGAATACAGTCAGCGTCCATCACCCTTGCTATCATGTTGCTTTATGATGAGCAGTGATGGGGGTTCCTTTTGGGGTTGCTGTTTTGAATTCAAGCTCAGCTCCTTGGCTATATAGTTCTCAAGAGTGCTTAAGAGTGTTTTCTTCCTTTTGGTTGGAAGATTTTCATGTTGTTTCGACGTGTACGGCCGAGATAACTTTGACTCTACCTAGGCGTTAATCTTCAGAGCTGCCATCTAAGACCCGGCATGGAGGAAGAGAGCAATCCCCACCCCCAGGTTTTGAGCAATAAGATTTAGGGAGTGCTCTAAATCATCACTGTCAGCTGAGAGGAAAGGGAAAATACCAGATCTGCCATTGTTGTTAAAGAACTGGATAGCACTGAGCTGGGATCAGCAGGGCCTTAGCAGATTTCTCTGTAGGGTAGAACAAACCCACCTAAATTATCAAGCATTTTATCTTGTACAGTGAATTCTGTAGTAGGACTAGCCAGGCACTACTATTCTACTGCCTGACCTTCTAAGTAGATTAGTGACTTGTGCCTGCCGTTTGTTCCAAGTTGATGATTGGTTTTCCTATATCCTTTGCTTCAATAAAAACTTAATTTCAGGGAAATAGCCCTCCAATGCAGACCCAATAATGATGTATTCTAAATTTGCAATTCTCTAGATCTTCCTTGATGAGTAGGACATGGTAAGAATCTTTTTATATATATGTATGATGCCCTCCTCCTGGTGAGATATGACAGATAGGGGGTCCATGTGTAGGGAGCAGGTGGCCGTATTTACCAGGTACCCTTCTTCTTGTTTACTTCCATGGCGGCTCAGATAGTAAGCAGTCTGCTTGCAATGTGGGAGACCTGGGTTCGATCCCTGGGTTGGGAAGATCCCCTGGAGAGGGAAATGGTTACCCACTCCAGTATTATTGCCTGGAAAATCCCATGGACAGAGGAGACTGGCAGGCTACAGTCCATGGGATCGCAAAGAATCAGACACGACTGAGCGGCTTCATTTCTTGTTGTTTAGTTGCTGAGTCATGTCCAACTCTTTTGTGACCCCATGGAATAAGAATCTGTAAATTGCACATGTGGGATCTAGAAAAGGAAAAGATGCAGACCCTGCCCTTTTGAAGAGAAGAGTATGTGTATACATCGGAATTATGAATTTGCATGTTGAGTTTTTGTACTTTTATATTTTTTCTACTTTCTTACTTAATGGTTGCCACTTAGGTGGCTCTGAATAGTTTCTGGTTGAGTAGATTGGTCCACACTTGTCTTCCCATCCTCATCTGTGTGTGTGTGTACATTTACACATCTGTGGAGGGATTGCCGAGATCCATCCATTTATCACCTATGTTTAATGTTCATCATAGAGCATGAAATGAAATAATGGCAGATTTTTTTCTTGCTTCCCTTCTGACTTGAGAAGCATTTAGGTTGACACCCCAAAGTTCCAGTAGCGTTATCTATGATTCCCAAACAACTCTGTGAAGGGGCGTTTTCAGAGCTCTGCATGAGAAGCCCTAGACCCGACTGAAGCTGTTCACTGGGAATGAATTTGAGGAAAAATAAGTGCAGGGAACTGAAACATATGCTCTGTTATTTGCAGAACATAAATGTAAAATATGCCCTGGGGAGCTAAAGTATAAAGAAGCGAGGCACAGAAATTAAATTGTTCTCATGCTATCCATCCCAAGTTATTGTGGGGTGCCTGGCAATGGTTTGTGAGAAAGGTTGGCAGCAGTCCCCACATTCTAAAAATCATTTATTATGCGAAATAGGAACCAAAAAACTCAGGTGGTTCTGTTGTCCTATCAAATAAAAGGCTCTCAGGATAGATAGAGTTTGGGGGAGAGTATATTCTTTAATCAGAAATAACTTGTGAATGACATGTTGGAAATGGATACATCTTTAGGGGACCACAAGTGTGAAGAGTTCCTACATAGCCATCATTCTTCATAAAATATAACTTGCCACCAGCACCATCAGCTCCCATGACCTTTGCTTCTGGTATTTGACCATCTTCAGGTTCCACATACAATTTAGATAATTAAATTGGGGGAGGGAAGTATGTTTAAAGGATCATCATACAAGTTCTGATAGAAGGAAAGGACGGGATCGTTTAAAGCTCCAGTGATCCTACACATTCAGGTTGAATTTTGGTGTATTATGAATAATGTTTGTATCTAAACACAAGGAATTAAGCTGACTTGAAAGGAATGCGATATGATCTGCTCTGCAAACAGCCTTTCTCAAAAGTCCACACACATGTTTATTCTGATTCGATTTGGGAGTGGACTGTCAGGCCCTGATGATCTGCAGAAGACCACATCTCAAAGCCTGGCTGCTGGTTTTTTTTTTTTCCTTTTTACTGAAAGTTTTCAATCCTGTTCATTTATTCATATATTCATGTTTATTTTCTGAGAGCTTACTCTCTGCCAGGCATTGTGCCACGTGTTACAGATGTAACCATTAGTGTGTTTTTTTTTAAACACACTGTATGATTTTATTTAAAAATTTAGAAAAGACAAACTAATCAACATGTCAGAAAACAAAGAAATGATCATCTGGGTTGGCATTCAAACTGACTACTAAAGGGTGCAAGGGTGCTTTTTGTGGCAGTGGAAATGTTCTATCTTGATTGTGATGGTAACATGAGCATATACACTTGCCCCAAAGTTTGTTGTTAATTTGTATAACTTAAGCATGTGAATTATACCTTAATCAGGGAAAAAAGAAAAATGGGAGCACAACAGAACTCTTGGGTTAATTGCTCAGATGGCATTATTTCTTGATGGTGACTTTCTGTGCTGTATCTCTAAATAAGGTCTAAATGTCTCTGTTATCATCATAGTCTAAAACAGAGGCAACAGAAAGTGCGATGGCAAACTCAGAATACAGAATGTCTAGGGTTGGGTATTCGGTTTGACATTTGCGCATGCTGAATATCACGCGTATAATCATTTCTGCTCCCCAGCAGGGAAGGATGTAATGGAGCCCACTTCATTTGGCAGCTCCATTTAAGGAAGGATGGGCAATTAGAGGAGGAGACTGATCAGAGGCCACTGAATATGGCAATTACTGTTCTTCTGTTGACATTAGGGTCCGGAATATAAATAGATAACCCTAGCTGAAAAGCTGTGAGCAAGATTTAAATGGGCCTCATTTTTAGTGAAAGATACTGATGATAACTAATGTGTCACTGAAAAATGTTCATGAATGTGAACCACACAACTTGTTTTGCCATGAGTCTTCCATTTCTCGATTCTATAGCAGCGAACAGGAACACAGAAGGATATCAGTAAAGCCTGCCATCTCTAGATTTAAATTTAGCAGCAGCAGCGTGAAAGCTTCCTGTATAATTACATTAACTGTAATGAAAGGAGAAAAGGTGAGTGCTGCATTATTCAAAGGCTAGAAGGATACCCTGAGATTTTACTTTGTCAAGATCTCAACTGTGTCTCTATTTCTTTTTATAAGCAAGAAGCTACTTTAAAGAGACTCTCTGCCTGCTCTACACTCTTCCCTTTTGGCCAAAGTGAAATATTTACTGCATAGCATTCAGGAGAAAAGAGAGGGATGTCCCAGTGTGGCATGAGGTGCCTTCCCGTGCCCACCCCACCTTTGTTACATGATGTTCCTGAAGTGAGGCTCCTGAGTTCTCTTTCAATTGGACATTGATATGAACACGGCTAAGTCACCTTTAGCCTTAATCTTTTCTAGCTTCTGTTTGGAAATATGGAGCCAGATAGTGGCCACACAAGTTCCTAAGCTTATCCACAAGTTTTCCCTCCTTCAGGTCTCTTGACAAAATACACCACTCCATCAGTCACTTCCCTAAGCTGCCTTTAAGATGCACCCTTTAGAAGACAGTTACACACCAGGCTCTAGCAAAAATGTTATGGCTCACTCATCATCCTAGATATCTTTTCAGGAAATGAATGGATAGAAACAAGGCAGAGAAATACCTTTTAAATTTTAGAGCCGACTAACTAAAATTCTTAGTCTCAGATATGTATGATAGTGCCGGGTGTCAAGATACCTAATCTTATAAATAAGAGGCTGTTTACAATGCCAGGAAGGCTTTAGTTATTGAAATTTCTATTTATTGAAGATAAAGAATTTCTATTTACACTGTTCGTGTCAAGTTGTGCTGAACGGCAAAGAGATTCCCCTGTGTGTTTATATATATACACATACATTCTTTTTCATTAGGGCTTAGCCCAGCATAGCGAATGTAGTTCCCTGTTCTACTCAGTAGGACCTTGTTATTTATCCATTCTATGCATAATAGTTTGCATTTGTTAATCCCAAATCATCCTTCCCTGCCCATTCCCCCCTTAGCAACCACACGTCTGTTCTCTATGTCTGTGAGTCTGTCTGTTTTGCAGGTAAGTCGGTTTGTACCATGTATTAGCTTCCACATGTAAGTGATACCATATGTTTCTCTTTCTCTCTCTTTTCTTAGTATAATAATGTCTAGGTCCATACATATTGCTGTACATAGCACTATTTGATTTTTTATGGCTGAGTAATATTCCAGTGTGTGTGCACACACCCCACATCTTCTTTATCCGTTCATCTATTGATGCCCATTAGAGTGGTTCCAAGTCTTGGCTACTGTCTATAGTGCTGCTCTGAACATAGGAGTGCAGGTATCTTTTTAAATTACAGTTTCCTCTGGACATCTGCCCAGGAGTGAGATTGCTGGATTTTATGATAGCGCTAATTTAGTTTTCTGAGGCACCTCCATACTGTGGTCCATAATAGCTGTATCGATTTACATTAGGAAGACTTTAAGTAAAAATCTAAGTATACACTTGAATGATATGCTTTTCTGTATGTCACTGAAGGAAACAATATTTTCTTATTTTGGACTTTGTGAAACTCCTATAAATTGCTGTGAGGTGGTCCATCTTTGAGAGCATCTGTAAGTTATTCAGCTGAGGTGCTTCTGGATAACTGGAGAATCTACAAGTAACTTCTTGGCTTTTTCTGTTTCAGGGGTGAGTTTACTGATACCACACGGCGCCATCCCAGAGGAGAATTCCTGGGAAATTTACATGTCCATCAACCAAGGTGAACCCAGGTAAGAGACAGAGAAGGATGGCATGTTAATGAGATCTTAAGTATGAAATGGAACTTCTGCAGAAAATCTGAAGTTATTAAGATAATGTGACATAGAGGTATGTGGGGGAGACTGTAAGCTACATGACTGTTAAGGGGGAAAGAGCAATTGCAAACCTGTTGGCTTTCCACTTGTAGACTGCTAGCAAGCCAAGTCACCGACATCTGGACAACACACACCAAAATCAGTAGCTGTGCTAAGTTGCTTTGGTCATGTTTCTCTCTTGGGACCCCATAGACTGTAGCCCACCAGGCTCCTCTGCTGATGGGATTCTCCAGGCGAGAATGCTGGCGTGGGTTGCCATTTCCTCCTCCAGGGGATCTTCCAGACCCAGGGATCTAACCTGTGTCTCTAAGGTCTCCTGCACTGGTTCTTTACCAATAGCACCACTATCAGTAGGGTCTCTCCACAATGAGTCACTGTCTTGCAGAACCCTCCTCTCAAAAGAAAAACATATCCTCCTGGGGATACTCTTTGGTTTTACACATTATGAAAAATGCAGAGAATAACTGATTTGTGACCTGTCAGCAGAACACCTGCCCTATAGCTGAGAGACAGTTTCTTTAGCAATTTTTCTGAAAGAAAAAAAATAGTCTACACTTCAGTAGCTTTCAGATCTGACAAATTTCAGCAGCATTAAATTCAATTACATAAACAAATACAAATCTTGCCTCATACTTTTTTAATGAAAGTAGCTGGTTATTTTCCTAGTGCAACTATAGTGTTTGTAGAAATGTTGCCTTCCTCCACATAAGATAAACCAAACTCCTCTTTAGAAAGCAATTTCTCTTATCAGCTAGATCTGTATACCTCTGGCATTTTTAGCCATAACATCTTGGTTAGTTTAGAATAGATTTTGTTGTTAGCAAAAAACAAACAAAAAAACACACACGAAAGAAAAACAGAGAAACAGATGGTTTGAACAGACTTTGATAGCTATCTCCATAAGAGGATTTGTTAGTATCCAGTGGTTTTCACTTTCTGCTCTATGGGATTTGAGAAAAATGGAAGAAAAGGCTCTGCTAGTTGGCTGTTGGGGAGGAATTGCTTGTAAGCCATGTTATGTTGGGCTCTTGTGTTATCTGCTCAGTTCTGTAGACTGATGTCCTTTAGTTGGGCACCTGGAAACATTCCAGTGTTTAAGTATCTGCACTTGGCAAAAGGCAAACCAAAAAGCAGAAGTTTTATTCAAAATCTCAACTAAGCAGACCTCAGAACAAACTTCTCTGGAATAGTCACCGTGTTTTTCTCTCTTGGGATGGATTTATGGAAGCAACTCTACCTGTTCAAAATTGAGGTCATGGTCAATTACACATAAGCTTCTAAATGCATCATCCTTCAAAAATCAAGTTTGAGGCAGAATTCAGGCAACCTTGCCTGAAAATCATGGCCTCTTGCAAACCCTCCTCCACTCTGCATCCTGTTCCTTTTGTGGTAATGAGTCTACAGAGCCTGTGTTCAGCTCTTTCTTCACAAACCCATTCCTACTTTCTTCTACCACATTGTGCAAGAACCAGCCTAGGAGTCTTTCACAAATTCAAAGGCACCTAATGCACAATTCACCTCAATCCTCACCTCTTAGACCCTTCTTCTTAGGAGGGCAGAGCTAGATTGTGTCCAAAGACATCAAACATGCAAGGACTTAAATAATAAAAAGGCTCAAAAGTGGGGGAACTAGCTCTTGGGACATCCTGAAGTTGAAAAAAATACATAAAAATTTGCCAGAGCCCAAGGCTTTGAAAGACGCATTTGGCCTCCTGGGATCACACCCTGCTAAGCTTTGCAAGTTTCAGGTTTATCAATTTGATTTACCCATCTGTAGCTAAGGTGTAAGTTCATTGCTGCCTTTCCGGAAGTTGGACAGAAATAGGAATGATGTCCAGAACTTCCCATCTATGAGGTGAGCATGTAACAGAGAAAGGAGTAAAATTACAGGAAGCTCACATTTCCATTTGCCAAAACCTTCCCAGCTGTTCCTACCTCTCAAGGTAATGACTGGTCACTAAACTGCAGCCCCTTACCTTCCGTGGCTGTTCTCACTCCTTTTTAAGGAGCTCCAAGCTACATACTGAAAAAAACACTAAAAATAGGAAATACCTTTTAGTTACTCTTTTTTTTTTTAAAGCTCAGGTAAATTTTTTCCATCCTTGCTAGGGGGCTGCTCAGATCTGAGTTCTGCTTTTAATCCTGTGATTAATCAGGAGACCACTGACGTACCTATTTAGTGTCCTCTCTTTTCTTTGTAAGATCACTTGAAAACCCATTTATGTCGTCTGTCATTCTGATCTTAATGAGCTTAGATTAAGACCCATTTCCCCACGTTTGTAAAGCTGGAACAGCACTGCTCTGACTTTTAGTTTAGAGGTGTGAGAATTGGACTTTCTGACTGCCCATTTTGATTCTGTGTTTAAGGCTGTTCCATTCTCCTATTGATGACACATTTCTGTTACTCTTTCCTGAGTTACATCCCTGGTGTAGCAGGGTGATGACTTAGTGGAACTGTAATGGATGGATAGCACAGATGCAAATTCTTTAGCAGATACCCAGGGTTGTAGCTGTGTGGAGTGAACCACAGACTCAGAACAAACCCCTGTGTTCAAATAGTCTCAGATGGATATACTTAACATTTTGGTAAGTTTCAAGTAAGTTTGTTATTTGTCTGAATCGAATGTGCCCTATCTCTCTTAGAACATCCTACTTGCATACCTGGGAAATTTCCAAGAGGGGATTGTATTGAATTAGCCAAAAATTTCATTCAGATATTACAGAAAATCCAAACAAACTTTCTGACCAACCCAATACTTTCTGTTAGGTGGAATGATGTCACTTTCCTTCCTCCATGTTCCTGCTTTGTCTATACTCTCAGACTTGAACCACCATCCTAAAGAAGCTTTTCTAACCTCTTCTATCAGTCTGGACCTTTGGTTAGTCATAATGCTGAGGAAATAGACTCTGCTGACTTTGCACGCATATAGGTACACATTAAATAGTTTGCTAGGAGGAGACCTTGCATCCTTGGAAAAGTAATTATTTACCTCTGTCTCAGTATAACTTGCAAGGTGTTCTCACAAGTGTTTAAGTCATTTAATCTCCCCAGTTAAAAAAAGGGGGGGGGGTTGTACAGATTTTGCAATGAGTAAAAAGATCTAAGAAATGAAGTTTCCAAGAAAGGAAGCTGCTCCACAAGGATGTATTACTTACCAACTGATCTGGGATTTGACTTCAGGACATCTGACTCCAATTCCGTGGCTCATGGCCTAAAGGATGCCACCTCTTCTTGACATCAGAGACTTTAACAGCTTTCTGACCTTGCATTACAAGGCTTAGACCCTGGAATTGCTCTGTAAAAGCAGCAGACAGAATCAAGTTGAACATTCCTTAGACATCTACAGTGGTAAATTGCTGCTGTTATAGCTGAGAGAAGAAAGACTGGAAACAGGTGTCACATCAGTGCTGAAACTTAGTGGACATGATGTTCAGAGACTTTTGAGCTCTGTGGCTAACAGTGTGAGCTCAGGCGTCTGAGCCCTGGGTTCAGACTCACTGCTCTTATTCATGTGACTGTAGGTAAGTTAATAAAACTATTTGACTATGGGTATATAGTGGGTACCTACCTATTAGGGATATTTATAGGATTATATGATATATATAGTGATACTACAATCTTAAAGATGATAAAATAAATCCTAATTAATACATTGTATTTGATAAAGTGTTTTACCTATTAATACTTTAGATAGGTTATATGTCCTTTAATCTTCTCATCCATCCTGTATAGTAAACAACAATTATTCTTCTAATTTTCTAGATTTGAAATTAAGACCAAGAAAACTTAGTACATTGGCCTTAGGTGGTAGTGGGATTGGGCACCAAAACAAAAGTGTTTGACTAATAATGTATTTTTTAGACTATGTCCCACTTTAAGCCATATTATTCTTGAGTCTGGTAAGACGTGTTTGATGAGACACAGGGCTTATGCCTAACAATGGAAATACCATGAAACATACAGAGAGGGGTCCAGATTTGTGGAAGACAATGGTAAGGTGATAATTCAATGTGGAATTATGGTGCAATAGAGAATTTCAGAGAGATCAGTGGGAAAATGGAGGAGACCTTAAGTCTATTCTAAGGATGGATTTACAGAGCGGGTAGCAGGGAAGGTGGCTGAAAGATCAGCAGAACTTAGCCAGACAAGAACAGTGAAAGGGTTATAAAGCCCAGGGATTTCTAGCTCCAAGATACATTTTCCAGTATTTCTACACAGTAGAAAGTAGGAAGGGGGTGTTTAAGAGTAAATAAATCCAGGCTCTATTACTGTTGTTATTCAGGTGTAGTTGCTTTACAGTGTAACTTTCTGCCATATGACAAAATGCATCAGCCATATGTATACAACTTCTTGGACCTCCCTCCATGCCCGATCCCACCCCTCTAGGTCATCCGAGCACCAAGCTGAGCTTCCCACCAGCTGTTTTATACGGAGTCGTGCAGATCTGTCCGTCCTCATCTCCCAATTCATTTCACACCTCTTCCCCTCCTACCAGTGTCCACACATCCCTTCTTTGCATCTACATCTCTATTCCTGCCCTGCAAATGGTTCACCATTCTTTATAAATTCCACATATACATGTAAATATATGATATTTGCCTTTCTGTCTCTGACTGACTTCACTCTGTATAACAGCCTCTAGGTCCGTCCACATCTCTACAGATGACCCGGTTGGGTTGCTTTTCATGGCTGAGTAATAGTCTATTGTATATATGTACCTCATCTTCTTTATCCATTTATCTTTCAGTGGATATCTAGGTTGCTTCCAAGCCCTAGCCATGGTAAATAGTGCTGAAATGAACACTGGGGTGCATGTCTTTGTGAATTATGGTTTTCTCAGGGTATATGCTGGAGAAGGAAATGACAGCCCACTCCAGTACTCTTGCCTGGAAAATCCCATGGATGGAGGAGCCTG